GTGTGTGTGTGTGTGTGTGTGTGTGTGTGTGTGTAAATAAATAAAGACTTTACTCACGCTCGAATGCGCCCCTCAGTCTCTGGGTCATTAGGATCAGAATTCTCTTTGATGAAGGTCAAATAGTGGATCCACAGGTCGACACTGAGAGGGATGACCTGCAAACCTCTTCTGTACACCTTGGAAAAAAAATAAATAAAATGAGTTTGTTCATAAAAGTCTGAGTTTTTATGCCCCAAATTTTGGTTCTTAACAGATTATTCTAGCTGGACAGTTATTGATGACACAGAAAAGCAGGCACACCAAGTTAAAAAAAAAAAAAAAAAAAAAAAAAACCCAAAGAAAGCAACACGTGTACAAAAGTACAAGAGGCATACTTACTTCTTCTGCAACTTGTACATTGCCATGCTTTTTCTCAATATCTGCATACTTCTTCCAGTAGCCATAGCAGTAAGGATAACGTAGGAAAAACACATCAAATGCCTTCCTCACTGCTGTAAGGACATTCTGTAAAGAAGCAGAAAGACCAAATTGCAACAATTTAACCACCTCTTTTTAGCATGTTCAAATTTATTGGACAAGAATATATTTTCACTCAGTTTTGTAAATGTGTGTGCCTTCTGTTTACCTCTTGTTCTACATACTGCAGCAGATAGACCCACGCATTGAAATCTTCTGGGTTTTCCTCAACTCCCTTAAAAAGCTTTTCAAACTCTGAGGGCAGTTCAGGATCTGTAGGAACAGCTGCTTCTTCTGTTGTTTCTTTGGCTGGGTCTTCTAGCTCCATGCCATCCTCTGCCACCTGTGTAGCCTCTGTCCCATCTAGAGAAGTTGACAAGGAATCATCAAGTGAGTTTAATTACAAAATTACAGTTTATGATTTGTGCATAATGTGTCATTTGTTGACAGTTTTCTTTTCAATAAATTAGTTACTGTAAGCACCGACAGAAAAAAATAGAGAGAGACACTATGCTGATTCTACACAGTACCTTTCTTGGTTGCTTGTTGAAAGCTAGCTAAATCTTACGACGTTACACTAACAATTGGACCAGAGTCAACTTCATGACTAAGCATTTATTATTAAATCAATTGAGCCAACTGAAAAACAAGTTTTAAGTTACCTTGACTGTCAGTCTGTCCAATGGATTCAGACTCAATATTCATGTCCTGGCTGCAAGGCTCAGGCCCTACAGGTTCTGTTGCTTGCTGTGCATCTTCTGTGGGCTGTGGAGGGGGAGGAGGTGGCGGTGGTGGAGGTGGGTGTTCTTGGAAGAGCTGAGCATTGGCAAGTTGAAATTGTTCCACAGCCTTCTCCACAGATCCCAGATCTGTGGAATTCATTTGCTGACCCGGTTGTTGCTCTTGTCCCATGGCATCCTGAGACACATCTGAATCCTCAGGCAAGACATTGGAGAGAGGCTCTGGAGCAACCTGGTCTAGTGACCAGTCAGTCGCTTGGCCTACGACAGGAAGGTCTGGAAGAAAGGCATCCCCATTGCTCTCCATGGCAGGGGACTCAGTATCGAGCATTCCAGGAAATGTACCCTCTGAGAATTTCAGGTCTGTTGGGACAGGAAAAAAGTAAAGACACACTCAGGAAAAAGAAAATAGATTTTTCCACACACCGAATACTATTACAGTTTACTGAAATATTAATGGTTTGTACAACTAAACAAAAAAAAAAAACTAAGAAAACTAGCTCTGAAATAAGCTAAAGTATTCCCACCATTTAAATAAATCAATAAATAAAAACATCCACTGAGTTTCCAATCATTTCTTTAAAAATACGCACTTAATGATACTAGTCAGGACAGCACAAAAACAATGTCAAGTACAATTATAATAAGGAACTTGGTGCCTAAAATAAACAAGAAATATCCAAGTGTGAACTGCAGTTATAGGTAAAATATCTACAAACAAGAAATTACTTTCAACTCACAATTTAAGCCAGTTTAGTTCTGACAAAGAATTTTCCACAACTATTGACAACGTGCTGTATTTTAAACTTGCCATGAACCTTCACTACTTAAAATGATACTTATAAATCTGACGCAACACGACGCATGTTTTTCGTTTCAAACTATTTTTTTTAAATTTTACTTCCTTTACGCCTAAAGGTGTCAACCCTAGTAAAAACAGCCGCTAAAGCAACAGGATACTTCCTTGTTCTAACATTAAACCAGTGCCAGTTTAAGCTTCAGCCCTAATTTAACTACTAAAAATAATTCCGCGTACTCGGTTGCTTACTCTTAGCTTTTCGCTTAGCTACCGTAATACTAAAGTTGTTTTCTTTTTTAATTTTACTTTGAGGATTTTTTTTTTTGTTGTTTTTTAAATGTAATATTTCCTTTAAAACACGAGTAGCTTTAGCTTTGTTTGCTCCTCGAGGCCTTGTTGTTGCCGGGAGGTCTTTTCCATGATCAAAGTTCAATCAGAAGTTAGGCCTGGCGCCCGTCTATCTCAAATAAGTATAATAGTAGAGGTCGAGGCATGTTTCGTGTACGCGCTTGCTTAGTACGGTCCAACACAAACTATTCGTCTTTAATTAAGTATCTACATTTTTCATCGATTCTTTACGTTGATAGCAACGTTTACAGAATAGCGAATAGGAAACTGTTACATACATCGTAACTAGGACATTTACATGTACAGCCTTTGCTTAGGCCTCCAGGAAATAGTCGGTAGCAGTTAGCTAACAGCAGCACGTTAGCTAACAGGCTAATGTTACCCATTTCGCCACTAGCGATTGTTAAATTCGTTACTAACCAGATAAAACCAAATCAACAAATAAAAATACGTTTAAGAATCTTATCCGTATCTGTTGGGTTAATTTACTTACCCCCGTGGACTTGAGTGCAGCTTTTGAATTCACTTTATCTACACTATTGCGACCGGCCGCGTTTCGCACACCATTCTTAAGTTGGAGGAAGATGAGAGGGACAGTGTACGCATGCCCAGTCGAACTACCACCCACCAGCGACGGCGCGCTATTCGTTGTTCTTGATGTCTTGCCAATTTACATTTTATGATGAAATTAAAATGCAGAAACAATATTTTGAAGTTAGCCCATAGCTTTTGTGAATTCCTCCAGAAGTAATGAAATAAATAAATACATTTTCCTGCAGTTGAAGTGTTTGTTAAAAGTGCTGCATATAATCCCTACATATTTTAGTGTACACACACTGACACAAGAATTCAACCGCTTTTAAACTGCATGACGCAATATTAAACGTGAGCTCTAAATCTTCTGCGCCTTTTGTAAAATACGTTACACTGCATTGGATTTTTTTGAAAGTAACACTCTTTACTTTTATTAATAAAAAAACAAACATTTACAATCAACCAAGCTTTATACCACTTTATTCTTCCATACAATAAATCCCCCAAACAACTTCTCTAGGTATAGAATTACATTTTGTATTTCACTTTTATTATATTTATTAAAGCATTTCGTTTTATTAAACAAACCACTATTGATCTGATTAATCACCTGGGACTCAGCAAGCTGCAGCAAGCAGGTAAAGTCAGGTAGGTCTGGTACTGTTGTGTGGGAGCTTTCTAGTTAACCTAACCCAGCTGTGTGCCAGTAAAGGTGTTATTAGTTTTATTACTATATTTTCATTTAGACTTTGTCCCTAGTCAGCATCACTTCGTCACAATCCTGACATTTCTCCACCATATCGACTTCAAGAACTTGTTTACTTGCTTCCTAATATATTCCACACTTTGTTGAGTGCTAATGTTACAATACAATATTACCAATTTAATATCTCAGTGGTTATATTACTGTGGCAGATCAACGTGTGTTGCAAGTTTATGCACCACACTGGCATGTTTGTTATTCAGCTGCCTCGCCTCAGTTGCAAGTAGACAACAATTTCAGAGATCCTTATCATGAATGTTTGTGCCTGAAAATGTGGAGCGGTATTTGAGATCCTAGATTTGACTAAATCTATGAAAATTATGTCTTTTTGCTTTTATAAAGTCAGTGACAACTTTTTTTTACTTTAAGAAACTTCTAAGAACAGTAATAATAGTTAGATGTTAAACTGGCAGGCACAACAGAATGAAAAACAGGGTGAGGCCCCTTTGTAAAATCTCACATTTAAACCCATTTCAAAAGTAAAGTTGGGACGGTTATTCTCATAGCCTTATTTTTGAATAAGGCTTATGAGTGCATGACTGTTTTATGATATTAGAATCACCTCTCATAATTTATTATGGCAATAAACACGAGTTCACTTATATTTATACTGACCGTGTCTTTCTTTAGGCAGCCTAAATTAATAAGCTGGTGTCAGGTAATGCTTTCACCAATGAAATACTGTAGTTCCTCCCGCCCTACTCACTCACATTCTCCACGTCACAGACTAATAATACAGGAACTGTTTGAATGGATGATAAGACATGCCAGAAAGACCCGAAAGTAAACCGTCTCCTGAGACCACCGGGCCAACTAAATCATGGCATGTGTTTCATGTGTGCGGTCTTGTGTGTTCTCATTGCGGTACGTTAAACCAGAGGCGATTACATCCATAATGAACGCCCAAATGGCGTCAGCAATAGTGCCTAATGGACCGGTCTGCAGTTCTTTTTTTCTGGGCGCGCATGCGAAATGGCGTGCAGTGCGTTTAGGGGCAGTCGCGTTTTTTAAAATCTAAATGAAGGGTGTGTTTTCCCAACGTCCACGGTGGTTTCTACGGAGCGTGGATTTTGAAACAATTACAACGTCAGTGCATAACTTTATTAAATCAATAATCTGGTGCAGATTTAAACGATTGTTTATTTCGTTGAACGATTTGATTTTGGGCTGTCTAATAAATCGAATTAAAGATTATTTGAGTGTTAATTACCTAATTTACTAATTCTCTAGCTGTTATGTTTAAGGAGGAATACGGACATGAAGATTGATTTGTAGAGAGTTTCTGTGCACCATCCTTCTAGTCTTTTGTTTTCGATGTAGCCAAATTTCTGAGCTCCGAGGTAGCCCCTGAATGTATCAGTAGTGTGTGTGAGCGGTATAGAGGAAGTGGCGGCTGATCTGGGTCCGCACCTTTTCCGGTAACACAGCACCGCCACCGCTGTGACTGAACGGCTGGAGAGAGAGAGAGAGGGAGGAAGAGAGACAGAGAGCGGCAAGAGCGGGGAGAAACGGTCCGGGGACAGGGGGATGATTGCCGCAGACGTAAGTATTTACCGCGGTCTTCGTTTTATCTGTACCGTGTTGCTTTTCTGTGTGTGAAAAGAGTATTTTTTTCGGATCCAAAGTTGTCCTCTGTTCTAACACCCCTCCCTTCTCTGGACCGCTCCTGTGTCACAGGGGGAAGAGAAGAAAGTCGGATGAATCAATGACCTTTTGAGCGCTCTTCCTCTGGATGTCCCGGCGCAGAAACGGACCGGAGAGGTTTAATTTAGGCTTTTTAACAAGAAAATTACCGAGCTTTGAAAATTCATCGACTGGAATTAGCTAAGGCCAATTGTGGATACCCGGCAGCCAAGGAGGAAGTGGGAACCCCCGGGCTTGAACTGGGCCTGATTTTTGTATAGTCCGCTTCTGGTGAGAAGGCACTACTTTGTGTCAGTTTCCAGCTCCGCTGAGAGCAACAGGATTTCGAACGGAAAAAAAACTTGAAATGTGGCTTTTGACGGAAGTCAGTGCTCATAGGCGACTTTGAAACATATCGGGCTTTTTTCTTCTTCTTACTTCGGAATCCATTGGATCATGAAAACAGACCCCCACTCAAGTCTGTGAGGGCTCCATACACACTGCTTCTACTGAATGCTCAGGTCAGATCACCACAGACCAGCTAACTGTACTGTACAAACTTGCAAGCCACCACCTTTTGAACATTGACACTTGTGTCAGCCCACCGCTGCCATCACGTGGAGGACTTTCAGTAGCAACACAGTGAAACTGTAACTTCTCAGTGATATATCTCCCCCCCCTATTTTCTTCTCATTGGAGAAGCTTCATTATATCTTCTAAAGAAGTATTTATGAACAGAAAACAAGATGGGGAAAATGCTTTCAAAGATCTTTGGCAACAAGGAGATGAGAATTTTGATGCTTGGACTTGATGCTGCTGGGAAAACTACCATCCTGTACAAGCTGAAGCTGGGACAGTCAGTCACCACCATCCCCACTGTTGGTTTCAATGTGGAGACTGTCACCTATAAGAATGTGAAGTTCAATGTGTGGGACGTGGGGGGACAAGATAAGATCAGGCCGCTCTGGAGACATTACTACACGGGCACCCAGGGGCTCATTTTTGTGGTGGACTGTGCCGACAGGGATAGGATTGACGAGGCGAGGCAGGAGCTCCACCGCATCATCAACGACCGGGAGATGCGGGACGCCATCATCCTCATCTTCGCCAACAAGCAGGACCTCCCAGATGCCATGAAGCCACACGAGATCCAGGAGAAGCTGGGCCTGACGCGGATCAGAGATAGGAATTGGTACGTTCAGCCTTCGTGTGCGACGACAGGGGACGGACTCTACGAGGGCCTGACCTGGCTTACCTCAAATTATAAGTCTTAATGTTTCCCTCCCTTCCTCCTCCTTTCTCACCAGCCTGGACACTTGGAGGCAAAAGAAGTAGCTGAGAATGAAAAATAATAAGTAAAAAGAAAAAAAGATGCAATCTGAAGCAATTAATACCACGACCCCTCTGCTGAGTATGTATCAAAGAGGGTAGCATTTACTTCTAGTTTTCTTTCTTTCTCTTTTTTTGGATAATGTTGACATCACTATAATCACAGATTTCATTTAAGCAAAAAACCAACATATTTCTTGGCTTTTTTTTTCCTTTGTAGCTTGCTTTGGTTCACACTCTGTATAACCAGCACTGTTTAAATATACAGTACGCTTTCTTTTACAGCAAATTCTTTATTTTTTTAACTCCCTGTTTTTGTTTTTTTGTGTAATTTTTTTTTTTCAGGGGACTATGGGGGACACGTTTATATTTCCCTTAACCCTCATTCAGTATTCTCAGTCATCACCCAGCTACATATCCAAAGGATGGGGAAAGTCCAAAAAGACAAAAAACAAATGGGGAAAAAAAAAAGCCCATTGCCTAGCACAACTGCATATCACCTTCACTGGTCGAAGTTGCCGCTGTAATTTGTTAGAATGCGTGTTTATGAATATGTTAGGACCTTCCTTTTGTATTCGATTGTACTGGGATGAATGAGGACGTGTTAGTTATTTCATGTGCAGTGATTCCATCCATAATGTCTACTGTGGCGGTTTGTTCGAAAGACACTATGTGGACGCTTGATATTCTGACACACACACGTACACACTGTGATATGGATATATCTATACATTTTGTTGTTTCAGGGTTTGAATCTGTTACAACCAGTCTTATCGTTTCCTCTCGAGCTTCCGTTACTGTTGAGTGTTTGTAGTTTCGGCTGCCTTAAGACGGACCTGAGTTACAGGTGTCCCCACACCCCCCTCCCCAAAATCAAGACAGCAGAAGGTATTCTTAGTCGCTGAGTTTGCACTGCAGGACAGAGCGAGGGAGGGAGGGAGAGGGGTTGGTTAGCAACAAGGTGGCTGTGCACATTTTTACTCTCTGTGACTGACTTTTGGACCCCAGCAAATGTTAACCAAATACCCAACCCTCCCCATTCACCACCACCACCTCCTCCACCTCCAATGCAGGTGCTCCAGTGACTTCAACCCCCTTCTCTTTTCTTTAATTATTATTATTTTTAAAATCATCAGCCTGTATGGTCCTGCAAACACCAAACCGGCTATTCTGTTAACGCTTTATAGATGCCGCTGTTTTATTTCTTCTCTTTTTCTTTTTTTTTTTCTTTTGCTATTGCTGATAAAATAATAAAAAAAATTATATATCCAGATCAGTACGGAAGTGATGCCTTTTCAATGAGCAGCTGCTACCGTAGCAAAAGTCATATTTCACAAAAAGTTCCCAAAAGAGGAAACGAGAGCTTCAGGGCGTTATAATGACTGAAAGAAACTCGAACGAACGCGAAGTGAAGTGAGCCTCAGCCTGTTTCCTTTCTGCTGTTGAGTGTGTGTGTGTGTCTGAGTCATTTGCTGTGAATAAATGATGAGATCTCTAGTTTCAGAGAAGTGATTGTCAGGTAAACTACTTTGCCTCAAGTCTTAAAGTTTCACTCTGGTCATCAGAGTGCCGGATTCATAAAGAAAGCAAGTTTTGCTAATCTGTAAGCCATGGTAGGTTAAAAGCCAGAGGGAGCAGGACCGTAATTCACTGTCTTGGTAATGGTGAGTAATACTGAGCCTGAATCATAACTTTAATGAGGAAATTACACATTTTTCTGCTGAAGATTCTGCCTAAAATACAAGTACAATAAATTTATTCTCTTTTGAGTAATTGGGCAGTGCCTTTCTTTGCCTTTGCGCAACATCGGAGGTTAGTCAGCATCACAAAAGATCTTTACCGCCCTGGCATTTTGCCCTGAGTAAGCGAGCTGCCCCGAAACACGCATTTGAGATCAGGCCACCGTTTGAAAGCCATGCTTTCACCTCCGCGCCGCACAGAGCAGCACAGACCTTCGTGTGTGTTTCCACTGCATAACAAAAGTAGGGACATGGCTGCGTTTGGAAGGTCAGGTTCCTCTCTGTACCAAAAAGAGGAGGGTGTGAATTGCGGGGAGTGACATCACTGTGTAGTCAGGAAATGCTTTGAAGGAAGAAGATAGTTGTCATGGAAATTGGTGGTTGAGGAGTGAATGCCTGAATGAAAACAGGTTGAACTACATCAACAGACAGGTGAAGTCCTGGCGCTTTTGACACTTTCTAAACTTAAGGAGGAAAGCGCTTCCTTAAAAGCTGACATAGCTGAAGGTATGACAGTGTCCCCAGCTATGTTAATGTAAAAATATTCAGAGGAGTCAGAGTCCAGGAATTCCTGCGCAGGAATTCTTGCTGTTTATCTCTGCATTTGCTCTGTTTGCTCGCGAGCTGTTTGCTCTGTGAGTGTGTGTCGGTTTGAAGTTTGACCTGTTGCTGTGTGGAAAGCACACATGTGACGAAGGACACTGAGATAGACACACAAATGAGACGGGCTATCTCTCCTGAAACCGCCGCTGTGCTCTGGATTTTTCTCTCGTACTGAAACCACTTTAACAGAACGTCCGAGGGGCCGTGCCCCGGCGCTCTCAGGCGTGATCTTGTTTGCTTATGACTTTCCATTCATGACTCTCATTGTGGATGCAATCAAAGTGAAACCCACAGAATGCCTTTCTCAAGAGGGTTCAATGAGAGGAAATGTGGCAAGGGAGAGCATTTTGAAACCGTTCCTGATGTTACATCAGCGCCGAGCCAGTTCATTGTGCTGCACATGTCGTTGGCCTTTTGTACAGCTGTCACTGCGCTCGGCAGCAGATGCACTGCACATATTGGCTGGTGTCAAATGCTGTCAGGCTCACCTGTGGCCCTCACTTAAAGGGCAGGATTTAAGACTGTTATTTAAATAGATTATATAATTTCATGTTTTCATTAGGAAATACCTGTGTCAGTGAGAACAGCTGCACTCACACAGCCTTCCTACACTCAACCCTGTTTCATTTTTATATGCATTCAGTATTTTTTTTTTTCATCTGAAGCACTGCCATTGTATGTCTCAGGGTGGGGGTTGACTTAGACCATTGTACGCCTGAGAAGGGGGTGGTTTCAAACAATACTTTAAAACCGAGCTCATTGGCAGTTCCTCCGTCCTCATTTTGTTTATTCAGGCGTTCCTCTTTGATTTCAGTCTGTCTTCAGTTCTTCATTCAGCAGGGCAGGAAACCATTCTCGTGCACGTGTCATCAATAACAGGTCTGTAGCTCGTGAACTTGCACAATCAACGAAGCGTCTCGCGCTTTCTAAGAAGCATTCACCTGCTTGTTCAGCGCTGATTCGGCATTCTGTGTTTTACGTGCCGCTGTAATCCTTGCTCTGCTTGCTAACTGCAGCACCGGCTGGGGTTATGTTTAAGTTAACTTCATGTGACACACACACACTCAGCGGCTAAGCAAGCCGACACGTTGCCTCTCACACCTCAGGCACTTGCTGTCTGAATCCTCCCACAGCCGTTTCCACAGAGTGTGCTCACTTTGCTGAAAGAGTCAGAGGCCAAGTAAAGAACTCCACCGTTTTCTCCTCATGTTCATACAAATATGTTTAGGTGGTGCTTTGCTGGTGTGGGAATAGATTTGAAAGTAGGGTGTAAAGGAGGTAATTATACTTTAATGTATGTAAACAAAACAAATAAAAATCAGGTTTTACATTAAAAAACAATATGATGCATCTTTTCAATTCACTGCTGCAACAGTCCTACCCTTTGAGGCTTGAGCTTTCAGCCTTAAGCTTCCCTCTTAAACAAGGACATTATATTCAGTCATATCCCCATGTCTCTTCGACTTTACCACCCAGTGATTGTTAGTGTGTCAGGGATAAGTATCAAGCTCGGATACTTGTCTTCTTTGTCTTCTGATTGAATCCTTACCTGCACTTCTATTTAGCAGAACACTCCTGACACACCAAGCTGCATCAGCCAGAGATCCAGCCAGCGTCTTGGTTGTCATGGGGCCTGTTTCAATAGCCCCGTTAAAGCAGCATGCAGAGTGACATTCAGCTTCCAGGCAGTTGTAAGCTCTTCAGAGTCTGTTGCACATTGCATTTCCCTCCTCCTTGGACAATGTGCTAATAATTATAGGGAGCCCAGGGCCTGTGTTTGCATTTGGCAAAGAAGCTTTGCAGTGGGAGGGATGTGAGCTGCTACAAACCCCACGCTGCAGCAAAGATTCAGGCTCAAATATGTAATTAATGGAGGCTTTTTTTTTCTAACTGAAGCCTGTAAACGAGAGAAATAAATTTTTTTTTTTTACAAATTTTACTTTAATTACTTAATGAAACTATTTTAATTACTTTAATTTAATTTTACTACTATTTTTACTAAAACTATGAAATGCCAAAGCCTAACTAACCAACTCTGAGGTCTTTTTTTTAAATAAATTTAAGAAAAAAACTGTCACTGTTGAAATTGTGCTCAAAGTCTTTTCTAAGTCAGTGAAAATCTGATAACTAAACGATTAGCACAAAGAGAATTATGACCTCTTGTCTTTTGTCAGCAGAAGAAACTTTATCAAATACATAACAGGAAGCGAGACGATTTTCTAATTACAGAGAGAGAGAGAGAGAGAACAAACGTTTCCTTTATAGATTAAGACAGACAAACTGATGGGTAAAAGCAATGTTGCGCTTTCGTTTGTGACAGGAACTGACATATGCTGCAACCTTCCTGTGTGACACATGGCACACCACAGCAGCATATGGACAAATTCAGATAACCAAAAGAAGATTAGCAGAATAGTGTGGAGACAATAACAATAGCAGAGTCAAATTATTGTTATTATGGACTAAATGATGTGTCTGCTAAACAGCACTGTAATTACCTTGACTGTCTTGCTGCTGTGTTTTCTATTGTGAAACCCTGATTGTTTTGAATATGGGTTTGGACACTGAAACGTAACCAACATATGTTCGCTTCCCTCTGACTCAAATCTCCCCTGCTTTTTTTTTTTGCTAAAACAGTCAACAAGTGTTACTATGCCTTCACACGTCCTCTAAAAACTGTGCTAATAAAACATAATAATCATAGGTTACAGGCTGCCATTTACACTGTCGCACTCTGAAGGGGGAGACAATTAAGCTAAATGTCCCCCTCTCTCTCTCTGGGGACTGTTGTCAACCTCCCACTTACACAAACACAGAAGCAAAGTCACCAATACAATGTTCATCCCTAAATAACACACAGCACTAAATCCCAAAATAAACTCACCACACACAGCCTCCCCACTAGCTCTTACTAATGTCCAATTTGGCGAGCCACCTTCTTTTATGTAGGACACCGAGCATATAGCTTCACACACCAGCAGCTGTGTGTTTAGTCTGTGTACTCGGGTCATGTACATGTATGGCAGGTTGCTGGGAGGTGTAGGTGAGACGCTGTGCGAAAGGCTGCTGTCTCAGCTCACCTGTCAGTGTTTAAGCTGGAGCACAAGTGCATTGTCATAGATCCTTGACACACTGAGTGTGCACACTGATCAGCCACGACATTAAAACCGCTTACAGGTAAGTGAGCGCCATTGATCACTGTCAGATGGGTATGACCATGCATCTAAACAAGGTGGTGGCCAAAGCGCACCCCACATAGCAATATCACTGCAAATGGTAAATGGACTGATTCTTATATAGCACTTTTTTTTACTCTAACTGAGCACTGAAAGCGCTTTACACAGGTTTAGATATACCTTCTTGCATCTAAACCTTCTAGATCAACCATGCATGCAATGTGCACACTAGGCCATGACGTACAACCTGCAAAGAACTGTTGCAAATGTCCTACAGACAGGCAACACAAGGTAACTCCAACGGTTTAGGTCCGACACTGGCAGGTGAGCTTCCATTTGTGTCAAAATTCCTGTTCACATGCCCGCTGTGTCTGTTGGCACAACACGTGACCAGATGTTATCTCTGCTTTTTTAGTCAAATGAAACATCTGGACCACATACTCAAATGAGAGGAAGTGCAACAAGACAATCGCGGTGAAGTTGGAAGGACACATCAGGTGTCGGATTAGCACCTGATACGGTTTGTTTCCCAAAATAGTTTTGTTGCAACTGAAGTACAATTCAGAGTTAAAAAGAGCTATGCAAATATTTTACTGTCGACGGTTTAGACACAAATTGAACCAGAAACAACAGATCGGTGAGGGACACGGGGTCTCACGCAATATTAGGCAGTGGTTTGATTGTTGTGGCTGACTGTGCAATTTGCA